GCCATCTTACCCCTGGTTCTGTTGCAGGCACCATCAACCACCAAAGCCCAGCTGCACCTGCAGGCATGATCAACCACCAAAGCTTCAACAACCACAGCCCAACTCCTGCCTCTAGGCTTCCCTGAACACCACCTACTCATCCTGAAGAGCTGCAGCGGGTTTGTGCATGTCATCAGTCAAGCTCTGTGTCAGTCATTGACCTCACTTTCAATGACAACACCAGTCAACTGGCCTTTGGTGGTCTCACTGCTGACCCAGACTCAGAGGATGAAGCAGATGGGATACACCTGCAGAGTAGGCAATTCCGCTGTGGATCTGCACATCATGACTGATATATCATGCAGAGTAGGAGCTGGCTGGGTTACACACTGCAGCATTTGCTTGCCGCCTTGCTTGCTGGCCTTGTGATGTGAGGGATTACATCAATTTACCCCCATTTGGTTGCGAGTCACCTTTGGAGTCTTATCTGTACCCCAGTCATGCAAACACCAATACTGAGACAGCCTTCGATGCTCTTGCTGAATGTATCATGTGCAAGTTCTGGGGTCTCCTTGCAAAAGTGCACCCATCACCTTCGGCATGCTACCCTGTTCCAGAGCAATCAGATGTTGTGGCCTTTTGTCAGTACTGCTATTCCTTGACACCAGGCCATTTCAATGTGGAAATGTAGGTATTCGGTTTGTGTTGAGGAGACAAAGCTCACAATTAGTCAGATTTGCACCTCCCCGATATGCTGAGGGGCACCAGTGTATAGTCACATTTGGTGATGGGCCTACCAAAGCACATTCAACATGGTGCTCATTTGCTACTTATCAAAAAAGCCCAAATTATACAGCACCACTTTGGATGGCTATTTATCAATCAAGCTGCTGGACATGTACCATTATACTGATGAGCTCTTCTGGCTCAGCATCAGCATCCTATCCCTGCTGTGGATATTGTTGGGCAACACACTACCATTCAACATTTTGCCATTCCTCCTTTTGGTGGCCAGAGCAGATGACTTCAATGCAGCACTTTAGCTCTGCAACCACATCACATTCATGAGGGTATTCGCCCTGAAAGCTGTGGAATGGATACAGTCATGGGATGCCTTGGCTCGAAGTCATGTTCTGGATCCTTCTCTGGCACAAAAAAAAAATTCAAGATTTGGGCAGATACAGTATTTCAGACTACTTCTCCATGCAGTTGATGTGGTAAGGACAGCGGTGCTCAAGCTTCTTTATTAGTCCCTAACAAGTTCGCCCAAGGATGTGCCAGAAAATATGACAGCATGGAGGTTTTCCTTTGCAGAACATGAAGTGATGCACCAGAAGCTGAGGACATATCTCCTTTTTTGGCATCAACACATCTCTTCCAATGTTCCACAGGTATCTGCTCTTATCAGGGGTCTGCATTACTTTGATCAACTCCATAACCTTTGCTGGGCCCTTCCTTCCATGTTGGGATCCTCCTGACACTCATTTTGAACAGTACCATGTGCATGGCATTTCCAGACTTCAAAACCTTCATTTTTGTCTTATCTCTCACAACTTCACCATTGATCCAGATGCCTTTCTTGCCTGCCACATGTGCTTTCGAATGCCTCCCAGCCCCATCCTGCAGCAAGAGTGGTCCAACATGAAGCAGGCAATTTCCTGCTTTATTGTAGCAGAAGGTTTGCCACACTTGACCGATTCACCTGGCTCAGACAGCTTGTGCACACTGTATTCTACACTAAACAGCAGAAGCTGTCTTGGGACTGTTGACTCCCCCTTGATGCAGCAACTGCACATCCAGAGACTTGTGCTGAATATCACCATGTTAGGGCAGGAAAAGCCCCCCATCTCCTGCAAATTTGAGGTGAGTTACTGCACACCAAACAGCCTTCCAGGTTTTCTCATGTTGCATATAGATTGACATTAGGCCTCACATGGTGAAGCTTGCAGACAACCAAGAGCCTGAACAGAGCTCAGAGACACTGGTAAATGCCAAGGTATGCTCTTGTTGCCTGGTGATTGAGTACAGCACAGATTTTCACAGGCTCACTGTTGCAAATGACAATGGGGCAGAGTTTGATCATGTCTTTTTGTGTTCCTTCTTACTTCCTTGGCAAACTTCAACACAGTTTAGAGAACATGGTTATATGAGTGCATCTTTTGTTTACTGAACTTACCTATGTTACTGATGCATCTCTGGTCAAACAATGCATATACCTTTTGCCATTCTGTCACGATCCATGTAGTGCCTCTGAGGGCACAATCAGCCACCACAACACCCTCAGCACCTACAGCTGTGAAGGAGGTGCCTCTGGGGGCACGATCAACCACCACAACTCTCCCCAAAGCAGCATGGGTCCTACAGGGGCATCACCAGCACCAACTCCTTCTCCTTTGTGAGACAGCCTATTATTTGCCCCAAAAAGGTCAATTGTAACCTCTGCTAGGTGGGGAAGTCTTTCCGGGAATAGAGCTCACCGATGGTTAAGAGAGAAGCATAGCAATGATCATTGATATTTGTTCCTACAGACAGAGGAGAGAACCTATAATCATGATCTAGTGATTTCAGGATGTAATCAGGTAACTTGTCTCTCAACAGTTTTGGGCTGCCACATGCTGCCTTGTGTAGCAATGAGACCGGTAGGTGTACCTTCTGTGATCAGCCCTCATTCTTCTTCACTCTGCCTGATACAATACCCAATAACATTGGCAAGCTCCAGTCTAGTGTGTCCCTCTGCCAAAGTGTTTTCACTCAACTGCCATTGATAACGCTCACCGAGGTACCAGTCATACTGAGCATTCCAGAATGTCTTCAAGCATTGAACTCTTGCTCATTGATTGATTATCATTCACTGTGCAATGTCACTGCCTCTGAGGTGATTGCCAAACCACACCACCACATCTTGTGCAGAGATTCACCTGTCCCATCCTTCTGTGTTAGGGACAAGGGACATGTTAGAATCCAGTAACTGAGGCATTCCTAGGTTTGAGCCAATCATGTTCAGGAGCTTGATGCACTGCATGAACCAGGCAATGGATGTATTTGCTGTGAGTTCATGGAGGGGGACTGCTCCTAAAAGTATTCAATGCTCTCCAGAGAAGGCATTGTTGAGAAAGGCAGCCTTGGCATTGAAACTCAGTTTGTTGATGATATCTCTTGTCTGTGCACCATTTGGTCAATGTCTGCGAGGCGGAGGAGAGGGAAGGATGGCCAGCTTGAGGTTGACTGCAACTGCACCTGCTGCGGAAACCTGAGAATATTGGTCAAGTGGAAGAGTGCTGAGTAAGGGTGCTGCTGGGGAAGACAGAGAGAGTGTGGTCCATGAAATCACAGCAGGTGCAACTGGAGAGTGGTTTTGCCAAATATGGGCAACAGGCGGCTGGGGGGAAGGCATTCGAGGTGGTGTTGCCAGCATGTGGTGGTGTTGAACAGGAGCTAACGACACTAGGTAGACAAGATGGACCAGACCATCAAACCACTTCCTGGGGACATCCTGTGGCAATGTCAATTTCAAGTGCTGTGTCTGGGGACTTGCCTGGTCCATGGGGACCAAGCACAGGAATGGGTCAACATCACCATCCAACAGTGTACCAAAGATACCCAAAAGCTGGTGACCAGGTTGACAATAGAAAGTGTCATTGCCCCACCTACAAGTAGATGGCACGGTAGATGTAGCTATGGCAAAGTTCCTGTATTGCATGCTGAGGAAGTGAGAGAGACCATGTGAAGGGATGGTAGGTGTGTTCTCAAAGATAAGGGGTATGAGACCAGTGGCTGATAGGCTGTCCCCCCTCTCTATCTTCATCTTAGCTCAGCCAAATACAGTTCCTTGAGTCTTCTGAGTGTTGAAGAGTATCACTAACACAGAGAACTGCTTAACTGTTCTTAGGATTAGCAAGACTTCTGATGCAGAGAACAGATGACACACATTGTGCCAGTGGGTGCAGACTTGGGTTCATCATGACATCCACTGAGCTTAGGCAGGCATTGTTGGTGAGGATGCCTCATGTCATTGGCACTTGTTGAAGGCAAACAGCTATCCTGAATAGGTGGCCAAGCAAAGTGGATGTCCACCTCATGTATGTGTGGTGGTTGATTGTGTCTGTCAGGAAGTAGCTCCAAAGGGCTGGGCAGTCTAGATCCCTCAGAAAGGGAATGCATATGTGTAGGGCTTGCTGGCGGCAGTGGCATGTCAATGGTTATCATTGGTGGGGATGCTGAGGGGCTGGGTGACACTGCCAATGTACCAGTCCATGCCCATGTGGCCTGTGCGAGATTTCCCAGCAAGCTACACAGCCAAGTCAGCATTAAATTTGGCAATATTGAAAGTTCAGTGCACCTATTGATCTCTGTGTACTCTCCAAGCATGTTTGGGGCAATATGTAAAGGGCTTGTTATGTTGACAGTTGGATCCACAGTGCTGTCTCATTCTTCCCTCTCAACATTGACAGTCCGTGTAGGTGAGTCCTGTCCTTCACTGGTTGTATCAATTGCATTATTGATACAACCAATGGTTTGATTTGTCAGGTCCATCTGGGTGACTGGAGGGGCAGAGATGGTAGGAGAAGGTGGGAGAAGCAATCTTGCTGGTGACATGAGGGGTGGGGTGGGATTGTTGACCATTTTTGCATCTTGCTGCCCTATTTCTCTCACCCTTTGTCTTGTCATATGGATCCTCCCCTGCATAGTAGAAGGGAGATAGTAGGTAGTATGATGACTATTCGTCAAGGGGTGAGGTGAGGGAGACATCATCAATGGTGCAGTGCAAGATTAAACTGGGACAGCCTGAGGGCCCTGATGCCAGCTGGGCATTGGAATGAATGATATATGAACATATCATCAGGCACAATCAACCACCACAGCCCTTTTCATTTCAAATATGTTTAATCCCTATTTATATACACCTCATAGAGGCAGAGAAGGCAAGGAAATTGGTCAATCTCTCACCTTTCAAGTTGTTGTAACTTAGTGCAAGTGTGCAAGGCCCTCCTCCATCTGTGCCTCATTGTCAAAAGGTCTGCTCACAGAAAGAGGGGTGCAAGCTCATTCACTAGCTGCCCCATATGCTCTGCTGACAAAGGACAATCTGGGGGCAGTGAGTCAATATTTGATAGGCATGCTGGCATCTGGTTGGCAATGCCATGAGTATGTATGAACCCCTGTGCTGGCAGAGGCTCAAGGTGGGCGTTTGGCAGGGATTGCACCTCAGTCTCAGCATGTGAGATGGTGACCTCCAGCTGGTCCTCTTCAGCCTCAGCAAGCTTAATGTCAACTTCAGACCCATAAGAGCCTGGATTCATGTAGTAATGTTGGTCATTTCTGGTGACCAGTTGGATGCCTCTTGTGCTGTGCTGCAGACACCCCTTGAGGAAAAGGTCTGCTGGACATTGGTTTCCCTCTGCCAGAGACATGGTATGGAAGTTCCATTCATTCTGGAACCCAGTCCCATTGTTGTTTATGTCTTGCAAGAAAAGCCAGTGCAAGAGCCACAGATGGTCATTGTTTTGATGATTGAGCCCTTCATCAGCCTCCAAGTTGAGGAAGAATAAGGCCCACTTCCATCCAAATGAATTGGTCACATCAACCCACATTCTTTCAATGTGGGTGTTATGAACCAATTGGCCCCATATGTAGGAGCCCCAATTTGCACCATGGTGTTCCACCATCCATTGAGCAACCTGAACATTCTCACTGCCATGATCTCCATGGGCTCTCAATGGGACACCAAATTGCTCAGTGCCTTCAAGAAAGACTGATAGTACCATGTCAGCATGGTTGGTGGGACTGACATGAATAGCAGTGACACAGCACAAGAAACCATCCACAAAAGCGTGGATGTAAAGACCCCAATGGACAAGCCCATGCTGTCCATCATGGTGCCATAGGGAGTTCGGCCCAGTGACTTTGTACAGTCAGTGAGGAATTTTTCAGCAACCAAACAAACATGGAATCATATTGATATGGCAAAGAGATTGAGTGAGGTCTTGTAATGGGATATGATAGCCTTGAGAGGTGAGATATCCATCAAGAAGTCAATGTCCATCTTTGGGAAAGCAATTGTGCCAGTCTTTCACAAATGCATTGAGTTGCTCCAGTGGAATGTCATGGTACTTCTTCCATCATCCAACCCAGCGTTGTTGAGGGGCGTCTCCAGGCTGTTTGACAATCTCAAAGAGCAGAAGACTGGGTCAGAGAGCACCCAGTTTGACCAGCCTTCTTTGAACCATGCATGCAGAACATCCATGCTGATATGCAAGCACAGATATCAACAAAACCTGCACTGCCTGCAATAGATAGTCTTGATGGAAATGCATACAGGGATGACTGGAATGCCTGGCCGATGATAGGCCGGCAACCTCAGGAACAGGTTGAAGGACATTGTCTGTGTTTTTAGACTGAGTGGAATCCAACTCGGCCAGCATATCCCTTATATTGCATTCCAGAGCAGATACATCAGCAGCAGGAAACAGCCGGAAGAGCTGTGGTATGAATCAGTTAGCTAATTACTTAGCATGTTTGATAAAGACATGTTGGAAGGGCTGCTTGCCAGAATGCCAGTATCTCATTCTGGACAACTTCCAAAGGAGTATGATCACTCACATCAATTCTTACTGTGACCAAGACCTTGTGCGGGAGTGCTTTGAAATGCTGCAATACTGTGTTGGCAGCAAGCTGAGGATTACTGAGGAGTACATCAGGATTGAAGGTTGCCATAAGATGTCAGACATGATGGTGTCATGCTACAATGCATTCAGGGGACCATCCAGTTTGGCAAGCATCAGATGCTTCTGGGAGGGGCAGTTGGTCAATGGCATATATTCTACACATGTGATAATGCTGCACATAATTGGAAAACACTGGTGGAGGATGGTGGGGTTACAAGAAGAGGGAAAGAGAAGAACATTTTGGACTAATGAGTCAATAGGTGCGATGGGCTGCTACACTTTTGGGGGGATGGAAACCAGGATGTTCTTCTGCCATAGGCTTTGCATGCTGCTCCACACCACATCCATCAAGTCTGCAGGAGCATCCATGATCCCCTGGATGGTCGCAGCCATCTGCAACCCACTTTCCTCTGCCTGAATGCATCGCAACTCCATCACTTCCTCCTCCTCCCTGATTCTCTGCTGCAACACATGCTCCTTACTCCTGCAGCTAGAGCCAAAAACAGATGCAAGACAGCCTGATGGGCACTGAATTGCATCCAGCACAATGTTGACAGCATGTGTGACTGTAGGGTACATGCAAGCATAGATACAATCATACCACACCTCAGATGCATTCTTCAAAGTGCCCCTGCTGCATTTGATGGATTTGTGGTGGTCAATCATGCCTGCAGAGACAGCTCTGTCAGCACTGTGCTTCTCGAGGGAGTTGTGGTGGTTGATCATGCCCACAGAGGCATTTGGAGGGCCGGTGACCCACTGGTGGGGGGAAAGGTGGTTCAACATAGACAATGGTAAGGTGATGTCTTTTGATAGGTATTCTCTCTCCATCTCTTTATGCATGTAGGTTAGCATATTGCCCAGCTAACTGTTAGTTACAGTACTGACATGAATGGAGCTGTAGATGAGGTGTCTGAACAATAGCAAGGAGCAAATTGCCTCTGGTCTCCTGAACACAGCAATTTGGCCTGCAAGACTCAGGTTCTGCTCATGCACTGGGCCCTAAGCAGTCTTCAGAAGTTGAGACACCAGGACTACAGTAAAACTACATTAATATATAACTATATGAATGTAGTAAAGATACAATGTAGACTGATATTGATGTTATGATGCACCACTGTGGGCACAATCAACCACCAATTGGTCTAAAGGGACATGTACAGAAAAAACACAGACCTAACCAGTACAAGGCAGTTGCTGCCACCCTGATCAACATGTATGGGCAGCATGTTGAACATGAGGTGGAGTCAGGAGGTCAACCCATTAATTGCATGTCATGCAATTGGAACACAGTTTACAACAACAAGTGGTATTCTGATGCGCATGGGAATGGGAATTTGTATGGTGGAAATGAATGCACAGGACAAAGTAAAACACTAGTGGAGGATGGTGAGAATACACAGGAAAGGTAAAATGTTAGTGGAGAAGAGAAACACTGCCAATGATGTTCATGACAGGAGGGGCACCCAAGGGGATTGTCATGCCCTCACCCAGATGACTCTTAGAGGCAATGACAATACCTAAACAGCAGTGATCAGTGCTCTGGTTAGAAAAGAGAGAAAAGCACAGTACCATATATGGAGCTGCTGAGGGCAGCAACAATGACAAGAAACCAGAAACAGCCTCGAGCATTGCGGCTAACCTTGCATGGGGTACAATTGTTGCTGAGCACCCTGCAGCACATGCTGCAATGGAAGCACCTGGACTGACAAATTCCAATAACAGAGTCACTGCATCCATTGCAGAAGTCGCCAAAAGCACTGCAGACATTGAGGAATGACTTGGTGTTTTTCATGCCTTCCTCCATGATGTGCATTTGCTGCAGATGAGATCATCCTGCTTGCTGCTTGTCATCTTGCTAGGCTTTTTCTTCTTCTTCAGCTTGTGGCTGCTAGTATCCATGTCAGACATAGGGAGGGGAGGATGGACAGCAGGATAGTTTTTGTTACAATCAAGTCAGCATATAGCTCAGGAGTGGCAAACAAACAATGTTCACCTGGGGGGATCCACAACAGCCACTCTGCCCTCCATCCTCACCATTCACTCCAGTCCTTGTCAACAGATGCACACCAGGATACACCTCCAAGTCATCATCTTCTTCTGCATTGTCTTCTTCATGCTCATCTTTGTCTTCATAGCCTTCCTCATGAACTTGCAAAAGGAGGGTGTGTCAACCAGAGAGACACTTGACATGACTTTTTGGGCCTGGGGCATAGGAGGGTTAGGGACATTGGATTGGCTGCTGGTACCCAAGTCAGTGTTTATGTGAGAGGCTCTAGTGGATCTGGTGGGGTTTGACATTGGATGGTGTAGATGATGGCGGAAAGAAGAGAGGAGATGGAGAATAACTCATGCAGGTTGTGCACAAGTATGGAGGCCATGACAGGACAGCTAGGTTGGTTGGCTGATAAGGGGTCCCAGCTGTCCCCTTACAGCCTCTGGTCTTGGCCTTGACTGGACAGTGGCTGTCAGCATTTAGTTTAGCTCAAATCTGTGGGTTTTTCTAAATTTGGGTTTTCATATTTGAGGAGGCTTCTTCCATTTGTGGCTGTGCAAAGGGTCTGCATTCCATTCCATCCATGGCAGCAATACTCTTGCTTCTGGCTTCAAGGAAAAACAAGCAATTTTGCCCCCTCAGTGGCAGTGCTATCCACCAATGTTTGTGTGGGCACCTGAGAAGAGCTTTTGTCCTGATTACAGCCTGCCAATGTGGTGACCTAACTTTCTGAGCACCAAATAGTAATCACTCAGCAGATGCACATGCCACTGTGTGCATGTGGTGGTTGATCATGCCAGCAGGAAACAAAAGATGCTTCTTGTCTGTCCAGCCACATAACAGTATCTGAGCAGAAAGGACCCCAGAGTGCAGTGATCCATGAAGATGTGGACAGTGAAATAATCCGGCATAAGTATGTGAAGCCAGAATGTGAGATCCCAAAATGATTGAAGAAGGAGCATTGTTCAGTTCAGGATTAGGAGTGAAAGATCCTATTTGTAGCAAGAGATATGGTAGACAAGTTTGACATTCTCAGTACATTCAGGGAGTGACCAGAAAATGAACAGGTGTGAGGGATGCAAGTGGTTGTGGAATGGCATTGGAGTGGTGGGATGGCAGCAGAAGGGACAGGGTGATTAGCAGGTTGTAGGGAGGGGGAGAGGAGTGCATTGAGAGTGACATGTCTCATGTCCAGGGTTTTGTCCCATATGTAACCTCATATCTGTTTGATGTCCAAAAACAAGTCAAAATGGCCCAAAGTGGTTCCTGTGGTATTCTGGGCACAACAAATATCCATTCACAGTGCTACAGGAATGAGTCATTTCTACATGGCTCACAAAATTTACCCCCTTCTGCCAATGGACATTATAGAGGCAACTTGGCTAGCTCTGCCCCCAGATCAACTCCTGTCACATGCAGACTTAGTGGCATTCTGCACTTGACAACTCCTGAAGAGATGTCAGGGCACCAGCTCATTGCTTGGTCAAGAGACATGACTAAGCCTTTATGACATGGAAGTAGCTGGTATACCTTGGCATGTGCTGGAACCTGCTGGAAGGATTGGATGGTCAGGTGACCTGCTGTGCATGGCTGTGCATGACCTCATATGACCTCATCCTTGGTCATATGACCTGATCACCTGACTAGGCTGAGTAAGCAAGATGTTCTAGCAGGTTCCACCACAGAGGTATAAATATAAGGCCTACTCTGCCTGGGACTGTCTCT